ACGATGCACCCACTTGGGACTCTGCAAGAAGTATGGTCTGAAAGCATTTCCGCGCTTGTGAAGCCATTCTGTTCAGGAGGTCGTTTCGAATGAGAGAGTTGAAATCAGAATCGATATGCAAATGTGAACAGCTATAAAGATAAGTGTGGATCGACAGGATATCATGATCACGACAAGAAGCGATATGAAGTAGTCCTGATAGAAGTTAGCATCACTAGTCAGAATAGGCTAACAGTTGAGACCGAGAAAAAGCGAAAATATGATTTACTGGCTAATAAACTCGAGTCAGAGATGAAGTAAAAAATGACTTTCGCATGTAATGACTTGGGATGGGATAATAACAGAAATGGTTCTGTTAAACGTTACGCGATGGAAATCCGATCATTTCAAGACATATATATGCAATCGACAGTGACCAAGAGGTCACTCGGAAAGTATCGCATTCGATCAGCACGTGGATTTCACGAAGACGGAGTCAACATATGTGCTTGCTATACAAGAGTTCATTGATGTAATATCCGGATAAAACATGAAATTAGGAAGGTATAGGTAAATTAATGTGCAACATATATTACAAGAGTGCCACTGATTACAAGTTCAGTATAGTTCAGAAAGAAACTTCAGAATTTATTCTCCACTCATCCACAAAGATCCCCCACCTCTGTTCTCTATTTAGCTTGGAAACGACTGATTTTTGTTCTCTCATTTGAGTATTTTTGTTCATATTTTTCGGTTATACATATCTGAAATAAGTATTCAGGAAGGCGTCTTTGCCAAATTATAGTGGGATGTATTCGCATCTATGAAACTTGGCCAATTCATGCACACACTCAATTCTAAAACAGTTTCTCCATGTCTTTATACACTAGCATTGGAATCAAACACTAACATTTTTTTCCGCGCAAAGACTGCAAAGAGATTTTAATCAATATGTTTGTTCCATATGTACAAAATCCACTTGCACTTTCTTAAGAATATATTAAGTTGATCTGAAACCCGAATAGACAATAAAAATTGAATTATTGGAATGACTGTAAACCGAAATACAATAATCAAAAGATCAGATTAGGAGTGTCATGGTAAACACTCTGAGAGTAATTATATCACTGTAGAGTTGGCTTGGAATCAGAGACTAATTATTTGAAGTTGAAAGCATGAACTGATATGAAAACAATATTAAACATGTGTATAACAATGACATATCACGGTGATAATAGTTATGGACATGGAAGCGATGGAGTCATAGCATCAATAACACAGAGTAAACATTACCAACAACATTCACGTTTTGAAACAGAAAAGATTAATAACTATTCCAGACATTACCAGATACAACAAGGTAACTTCACCGACTTTATTGTTCTTTTCGGAATTGATGCAAAATGATCAAAATCTCCACAGAAATGAAATAAAATCAATGTAGGCACGTAAATGTTGTTTAGCAAGGCAGTGTGAAATAATGAAAATCAAAGGTGGAACTCAGTTCCTAATACAGTTTTAGCACTTGAGAAACTTCTCGTGTCGATTTTTTTCAACGGAAATTCAGTTTAAGGCATTCCGTAAACAGTTTCGACGGATGAATAATTATTCTACCACTTACATAACCGACCAAGTGTGCTGACCATTTTGTTAAGAGACCTCCAAATTAGTAAAACAAACAAGAGCACAAGCTCTTGCTTCGTCATTCACACGGATAAAAAGATTTTTAACATTTTTCTCTACATTCTAATTGGCTAGAGAAAGATTTCTAAAGACTGAAAACTGCAGAGAATAAAGCTGGTGTCAGTAAAATATTCCATTTAGCTTTTTATGAGTTACAAATGGTCTAATAGCAACGAAATTAAAATGCTATAAGGCGATACTAATCACTTTATTTCATACTGCTGTACAATTTCCGCTTACCTAAAGAATTTTATTAGATCAGAATAGCGCCATTTACTACTGGCTGATAAGCCATGACTGATCAACTTATTAGTTTGTATCCATCTTTGTTTCAGTCACACAATCTTTGGGATTTTTTGCAGGAATAAAAGTATTTTTGAAGAGTGATTTGGCATTTGCCAATTCGATTGCATTGGGAATAACCTGAAAAATAGCCCAGAAAAAATATTTTCCAATAGAGGTTAACTTCTGCCTATTAAATGCAAACAAGTTATAAGTTGAAAATTTGCCATGCGATTAAATTTCAACTACATAGTGTGAAACAGACCCATGTAATGGATTAGGAGTAATTTTCAGTAGCTGCACTGCAAAAGTAAAAAGTATGCGGCATACTGTAGGAATTACAGCATATGCTATTCTCAGCTATGTAATGAATATTGAACAAACAAGTAGTGAACTACATATGCCTTTGGATCAATTTTTAGAGGTTCGATTGCAAAGGTAAGTATGCGACGTCTTTTGCGATACGCAGCACCACCTCGAGGTGCCACTGGCTCCCGAGTCATGAAACACGCATTATTTGTCCGTTCATATTGTCGTAGCCTCATTACAATCCATTCTTCTGTGGCCTTGTCCAAAAAATCATTCTCATCTATGAAATTTTCAGGCCTTGCAATGTGAAATAACATGAAATATATCTTTCAAGATCAAATAATAATTTAAAACAAATTCTAACTTCGAGCATATTCAAAATCTAAATTTTCAAGCTATCTAAGGAATATATTAACAATTCAAAAACAAGTACCCACTCACAAAAAACAGAACTGCTGAATCTAAACTTAGAAAAAATAATAACAGAAACAAATGAATAGATGGATACAGCGATACTTGGTATATAGTACGGCAGTGGCGTCCATTCGTAACATGACTTCAGTCTCGCTAAGTCACCTTCCTCAGTATGGCCTCGTTTCACTACAAATAATATTGAAATCAAGTTCGTAATTAATAGCACATACATATGAATCTCATGAATATGGACATGTATGAGACATTACTGATGTCAATAGTTATTAAACTGAATTATTGCAGGACAAGCAGATTTTATTTTAATGAAATCTAACCTTCAGTTGACTGATACTTTTGGCAGAAGAAAGTGTTTTTCTAACACACAAGAGAAACATTAATGTTTAAAATGCAAGTTGCCTTACGAAAATTATATACCTTCCGCAAATTAGTGTATACAGCGTATATATTTTCCGAAAATTTCAAAGATCATTGGACAATCACTTCACACATACCCTCTTCACTTTCTAATTAAAAATATATGATAAGCTTCTTACGACCTTGAAAGTTGGATTCTCGGTGCGGAAAATATAAACTAAGTCAAAGATTAGGACTTCAAAATGAACTGCTTTACACGCATTTCATATGCATGTAGTTCTCAAAATTCTTGTGAATTATTCAAAAGATTACCTTTGGCTTTTTCATGACCTGTCCTGAGATGTTCTTCAAGTAAACGTTTAAGTGTAAATCTCGACGAACAACCTTCAATTAAGCACATGTAAGGTTGAGCTTTACCGGCATGCCGTGTTGTAAAGTGTTCCTCTAACCAAACAAACTAAAAATTAATATTTTGAAAATTACTTGTAAAAGAGGTTATAGTTGTAAAGTCAGAAGTAAAAAATTCTATTTCCATATTTGTGACCGACTCATATAATAAAAATAGATAGGATTCAGAACCTGTTTCTGGTAATCACCACGACTTAAACCCATTTTACATTTCCCCCATTGACACATTAGATTTTTTAAACGTCCTTTCGTTTGGATTTGCAAGCATCCACCGCCGTTACTTTTACTATTGCAATCCGACGGTCGTAAAGGTTTAAGATGGGTCTGAAATTATTTTAACTCGAAACTCAATACTGTAAGTAGTAAAGTAGCTCACCACTTTAGCTGAATTTTCTCTGTATCTAATGAATCTCAGTTGTCTAGGATTCAGATTGCAAACTCTGAACATTACCTTCACCTTTTTTGCAGTTAAAAGTCTGCTATTTATTCAAGTTTTTTGACTACACTTATTATCCTAATTTTATTTTTCTTATCAAAGTAGATTTTAGAGCGCAACCTTAACAACATGATCATATAAATCGTTATCACATGCAAATCGCTCACTACAAGTCTTCCAGCGACAACGTATCTTTAAATCAAGTTCAAGGACTTCTGTACATGAAATTGTAGATGAAGATTCTGTTAAATAATCCGCTACTAATTCTAGACTGTCATCTGTAAAGGTAATTTACTTTCAATATCAGAAAAAATTGTAAATAAGTATGAAACAATGTTATTAATTTAGTCATAATTATTTGCAGTACCCAAGTATTTTAATTGGAAATATTTTCTACTGTTACCTAATGAAAGGTTTTAGATCTTTTTATCATATACCAGATTTATGTCAGCCTCAAAAAAAAAAAAAAAAAAA